ACCTTATTTTCAATAAGCAATCCTGAAAAATATTTGGGGGTGCTTAACTTTTTTCCAGGTGTATATATTAGGATAATGTGTATTATTATTTCAGTTAGGCAAACAAGAATAAACTTTCATTTAAAATGAAGTGAAATATCCCAAAGTTTAACTTGTAACTCATATGGGATATATAAGGTGGTATAACAAAAGTGAAATTTTGATAAAAGTAAATTTGCAGACTAGAATAAATGTGATAAAACTGCAGACAAATCATTGTTTTAACTTGCTTACTTGAAGATGTTTCAAACACTTGATATCTGAGTAACTTCTTTTATACAAACCAAAAAAACCAGCAGTAACATAATACATTATGTATTTCAAGGTTCTTTTGCATGTAATAAGATGTGACAGAAAACACTAGAAATGTAAGGAAAACATCTGTTTTTAATATTGTGCAGCTAAATAATTTTCAAGAGTATAAAATATATATTTAAAATTTTTCTGAATATCCCTTGAATGGCTTTGCAAAGAATGTCATATTGGCCAGGAATTGTGATACTAGTGACATACAATAGTGGTAAAACATCTTTTTTAAAAATAAACATTACTTTGCAGTTATCAATGAAGTAAAAAAGCTTATGTAATGCATATTTGTAACCTATGCACTTCACAAGAAGTTTCACTTTTAAAATGGCTTGCAACCACACTTCTTCTTTAAAATAAGTGTTGGAAGAATAGCCAGTAGTAACGTTTGAAAAGCGATAAGAGTGTGTAAATACGCAATCAGTTTTTATTGTATCTTGAATCACAGGCAATACATAATACTACAGCATAATGTAAGACTATAACATTAGCCTTGTTCAAATACATTATGGTTTTTATTTTTAATATATTTCAAAAATTACATACAGTAATAAAGTTAGCTTTTCAAGTGCATTAACAGAGTTGTCTGATTTACTAGGCAAACGAATAGTTATAATAGTAAATTCATTAGATATGTTATATAGTTTTCAGCAGCATATTTTAATAAAACAAAAATAAGTAACCTAGCTTTTATATCACTCAACTTAGTCAGGTTGTGTTTTTACCAAGGGTGTTTATTTTGCTTTATGACTGCTAAAGTAAGCTTATTAATTCTACTAATTTTGTGGTTTACCTTTTCTTTATACATTTTTCTAAAAAAGTATATATTTCTCAACTGTTCCTCCTTGTTATTAACCATATTGCCACACTATCATGGGTCAATAAAATTCAAGGAAATACCACAATTAAAGTAAATTTATGCTTTTTTCTTAATCAGTATTTGTAGGCTATATTCTAGCCAGCCATTATATATTAGAAATTGGTTTTAATGAGGAAATATGCTCAACTGAGTATAAGATATGCATAATAATTAATATTAACTTCCTGTCAGGACAAGCTATCTACTTACATCAAAAATAAAAATCAACGTGGTAATGCGTACAGCTAGTTAAATATACTGTTCTAGTAAAAATTAGAATGTACTGTTTCATAAGTTAGGTATCCTTGCTACTTATGGTATTTTTGGCCATAAGCCCAATAATATCTCGCAAAGTTTGGCCAGCTCAGGAAATTTAGATTAATTATAATCCATATACTAAGCTAACATTATAAAATAATTGAAATAAAAGTATAATAGTACAAATTCTATATAAAGAAACATCAATATGTGTGTGTATCTGTTTCTTATATGTTTCTTGATCAATCAGTACCAAACTTGATCAGGATGACATGGGGGAGGGGTTTGGACACCCCCCCCCTCTAATTTAAGAAAAACTACCAATGTTGTATATCCCTCAGCATTAGAATGAACTATGTAACCACTATTGTTAGAATTCTTGAAGACAGCATGTCTTTCTTTTCAGTATTGGTACCTTTACATATGTTTATTATGTTAAGAAAAAATAGAAGCAAACTTTCCTATCCTTTATTACAAACTAGTTTTTATTTCACCCATCTGACTGATGGGTACTCCAACTAGTTAAAAATAATTAGATATATTAAACATTTTAACCAATAAAATAATGAAAGAAAGAATATAGTATACCTTAAAATGGTAATAAAGTGTTAAAAATAATCTTGTGAAATAAATAAAATTGATGAAAAATTACACTTCAACTTAATTCAGGTTATACCAAACAGTTGTCAAGCAAGTTGCTAATAAAAATAGTGTCTAAACCACTACTATGGCTGTTGTATCTCAGCTGACTTGAGGAGCCCTAAATATTGGTTAAAAGGCTTCATTGGCATTAGATATAGCACATATAGTTGACATGTTACTACACACACTTTAACTGAGAAGTCCTTATTAATAATTACTTACTTACACAAAGTATTTGTGTTACTATCATAAAGTTGGCATGAACTCATTTAGATAATATATACTTAGATCAATATCATATGAAAGCAAATTCAATAGTTTGATTTGTTCTCTATAGATTTAGCAAAAAATACTAAAACTTATTATAGGTAGGAATATATTAAATATCATGACCCACTGAAAAGCAGCCTAGCTCATATTCTGCCACAACCAGATGGTGAAGTCTTGCTTCTAGTTTGACACATCCAAAAGCTTTATGCAAAGATATAGTAATGTTATAGAAGTGGAGACATAAGTCAGCATACTCTTTCAACATTGGAGCTCCAAAACATAAGGGAGGAGGATTGTGGGCTGCAAGCAAAAATATGTTGTGTAGTTACAACACTGCATTCTCTATTATCTCAATCTGACTCTACCAGTGAAACTACACTGCTAAGAATTAGAATATCAGCAGCAAACTGGAATCGATACAGAGTTGACACTGAACTTTTGGTACTCTAACTAGTTTATATTGTAGATTGTTCCTTATCATATATCAGTACCTTAATCTAAAGATTATCATTCATACTAAACTGTAGTAATTTACTCTACATATATTATTAAGTATTAAAGTACCTTCACTGAAGCATACTTATTTTAACCTGCTTTCTTTTAGTTTAAATCAGAAATTCCTTGCATGCTTTTTTGAGAGTTATTTTTATGTGTTACTTCAAACTTCAAATCATTTCATTTAGATGTTTTTACTGGACAATATATACATATAATTATTAAATACTTGTAATAGATATTTAATAATAAAACATACTGGTATGAATACATGTTTAATGTAAAGAGCTGTTCCTGTGGTAAGACTTATGCAATCCAAGTTTTACCTGAGACAGTTGCATTAAACACTGTGTAATTATCAATGGTCACTGTGAAAGAAATTCCATAATCCTTGGGCAGATATGTCAAATTCACACAACCTAATGGTGAATAAAAAAACTAATATGTATATATATATATATATTTAAAAAATTTTAAAGTCAGAATATAACAAAATAAAGAAGCTTAAGAATAAATTTCAGTAGTCAGTAGGAGCAATTGTGAAACATTTAACTTGCTCTTCAGCCAACAATGACCCAGATTTCTAATTCCTGAATTAGCTTTCATTTCAGATGTTGATAAAGTGAGAAGTATAATAGAAAAGAAAGAATGATCCTTTCTATTAATTAGCATGATTCTGGTCATCAGTTTTAATAGTTTTTAAGGTTTCTTAATCTCAAAACCTCAGGCTAAAAGCAACTCACAAAAAACCCTCATCATTTCACTTCAGAAATCCTCTTAATTGAGTTTTGTATTTTGACATGTTTTTATATTAATTTGTTCAGTTACTCTTAATAAGCATAAAATGGATAAGAGCCTGTATCTAAAAGTTATTAAGGAAGATATACTTTTTCTTAAGATACTGACCTGTATCATTCAATCCAACTCTGGGGACCTCAAGATGGGCACAACAACCACAGGAATAATTTCTACACTCACAACCTGAATCAACCCACTTGGTGGTATTGTCATGGAATCCAATGTACCTTTTACTTAAGTGAGTTCTTGCATCTGACAAAAACCACAAATAATTAATTTTTTTCAAAGTAGAAATGGTAAATTTAAACAATACTCTTTAATCTCTTCTGTTTAGAGTGTTATTTTACATAAATGTACAAATGAAAGACTGTACTTTTGTATGCCAAAGGAACTTGAGTTGAACTTTGGTTTTGTAGATATGCTACAAACAAAACAGGATAGATGTTTACTTTACACAAAACACTAGCAGGTTCAGAGACCCAACCAAATTTTACCCTCTAAATTAACTCAACAGTGTATACAGTATTATAACAAAATATATTTGCATATTCAGTCATATACAAAAACGACAGAGGTTTGTGTGTAAATTATTGTAACAGTGAAAATATTCCCTTTATAGTTTCTTCCTTCATATACATGTCTGTTACATGAATCCTGTCTTTTAACCCACTGTTCCAAGTCACACTTCCAAAGCAATTCTTTGTGATCCAATTGTATAAGCTTCCCAATTTCCTCCAATATACACAAAAGATTTTTTGAAACTAATTTCAGAAAACAAACAAAAACAAAAGTACATTTTTGTTTCCATCAGTTAATTTCACATAAAAGTGTTGTAATACTTATTGCACTTTATTATTTTAAAACTGGAATTATGACATTCCTACCTTTTGTTTGAATCTATCTTCATAGCTCTAGTTGTTTGAACCAAGACTCATTTTAAAAAATGCATCATTTTTATTTCCTTCCCAATATCTTTGCTCTTTAATACTCTATTATAATCTACCTAGCTAATTTCTTAGGGCTTTAACTTAATATTCAATTGTATCACTTTTTTGCTGGAGTAATATTACAGATTCAGCATTTCAGACTCCAAGAGATGTCAGAAGGTATATTGTTCAATTATAGTCCATTTGTTGAGAAGTATAAATTACATTTGATTCACAGACCTTGTTGATAAAAGTGATATTACAAGACTTCTCAAACAATGTTCAGTTGGACTAAAATCTATTGATTGTGCTATTCAAAGAAGAAGACTAAAGTCATTTTCATTCTTTTTCAACCAATTTTGATCAATATGAGCACAGTGAATTATTGCATTATCATTTTTGAAGAACCCTTGTTCATCAGGATGGAAATGCAGCAGTGTGGTTGGATGAGACTAGTAGCAATATTTAGGTACATGTTATACACTATTCTACCAAAAGTCATGGGACAAACCTCTGATTGCAGGAAAATTGGGGGCAAGATGAAATATGCAAATAGTTTGGCCTATAAAGGTGATCAGTGATTCACTCGGAAGTCATTTCGAACTTACACACAAAATGACGAGTACATGGAAAGAGCTAACAGAATGTCAGAGGAGAAAGATGGTTGGATCATTTGGGGAAAATGTCTGTACATACTATTGTGCAGCAATTAAACACTCCCAAGTTGACAATTGGCAACATGCTGAAGAAATGGAAGTACACAAGTGACAATGAGCCCAAGAAACAACCAGGTAGGTGTAAAATACTGACTGACAGGAGCCAATGTGCCTTGAGAAGGCTAGTTACCTCATTTTGCCATCACACCCTAGAGAATTTGTGTTTGGAGATATGAGCAGCCACAGGCAATCATACAAGTCTTCCCACAACACGTTCAGAGCTGCATGCCATGAATTTTCACAGAAGAGCTGCAGCCCACAAGCTGCTGATGACAAAAACAAATGTACACTGTCGATTGGCATAAGGCAAGGCCCACCGAACCTGGACCATGGATCAATGGAAGTCAGTCCTGTGGAGGGACGAGTCATACTACATGCTCTTCTAGTCTGATGGACATGTTTGGGTATGGCGGATGCCTGGAGAACTCTTATTACCCGAGTGTGTTGTCCCAACAGTGAAGTTTGGAGGTAGTGGTGTCATGGTCTGGGGGTGTTTCTTATGGTATGGATTAGGTCCACTGGTCGCAGTGCATGGATCCATGAATGCTGATTCCTACATTGATGTTCTGAACAACTTTGTGTGTTCAACATTGTGGTAATTTTATGGTACCATCCCTCACATCTTCCAACACGATAACACTTCATGTTACAAAGCAAGGATTGTGAACATGTGGTTTGAAAAGAATAACATTGGAACATTGCAGTGGCCAGCAGAGAGCCCTGACCTCAACCCAACAGAACATCTTTGGGATGAACTGGAATACAGAATTAGGGCAAGGCCAAGATGGTCCTCTTCAGTAGTAGAGTTTACTAATGCTTTAAAGGAGGAGTGGAGCACAATATGACCAGCTTTCTACCAGAAATTAATAGACAGTCTTCCACGATGTATTTAAGCAGTCATTACGGCCAAAGGCAGGCCAACACATAATTAATTTCTTGGTATAAAGACATGTTTTATTCATAACTACCCATGTCCCATGACTTTTAGTAGGATAGTGTATGTTATTTACCTTTCTAAAGAAACCAATTCTTGCTGTGAGAATGTTCCTTATACCACTGTACCAGCAGGTTCACTGTTAGAGCAACACATGTAGGACTAGTTCCTTGTGATTTTCAGTATGGAGAAGAGGGTTACATGCGACTCACCAAACCACATCACATGCTTCCCGTCACTTGCAGTCCAATTATGTGCTCTAAGCACTACCAAAGTTGTGCTTTCTCATTTACATCTGAGATGAGCAGCTTTTGGAGTGGTTGTTTATTGCTGTATAAAAGTTCTTTTAATTAATATTCTTTTCAATATATGGTTGAAAATGGTCAAATCTAGATTACTGTTGAAGAAACTAATCAAGTGGAACAGTGTATTCAATTATATTTTCTCTCAGTCAGTCCTCAAAAATTGGCAGCTACCATTTTTTCCTTAATGTTTACTACTTTTGATAGACTCTGATGACAGATGTTTTTCAACAGCTGGTCAAAGAAATGGTCTTTGTAAATGATACTTTTGCAAGATAAGTACCTATCATCACACCTCTTTGCAAGTTAAAGAAATATTTGTTCCTATCCATTGTCTTACAGACATTCATGATATGACTGATCATTTCTAGAAACACATGACACTTCAAAAGATCCATCTACTTTGTGTATGTGAACAAGTGAAATTTTATACTACAGATATATGTCTGTGTTTTTCTTTGTAGGTCCTAATAAAGTAGCCATTCAATATATTTTGATTCTGACTACAGCCTTAACAATATTCTAATACATTTTTTTAACTTTAAAAACACCAGAACCAAACACCATACTATTAGTATATCTTATAGAGTACTGGAAATAATTATGGAAATACTGAATAAAATGCAAATATTATAGGATTGTTCCCCCATTATTTATGAAAATGAAGTACATCAAAGTTCATAGTTTTCACTGTGACTGGCTGTCATCCAACCAATAAGATAATGTCTCACCAGCATAAGGCCTATAAAAGTACAGGTATTCATTCTATTCCTAGTAGTAATGTGGTTAAATGCACTCATTGCTCCCAAGAAAGAAATGCCATATATCAAACATGCAGATATCAAATTTTTGTTTGGTAAAGGTTATCCCTTGGGGCAGATTGAGGCAAAACTTCATGTTTTAGTAGGAGCTGTATGATAACCTGGAAAAAGTATGTGGAACTTATACTGTTGATAATAAGGAGTCATCACGGTAGAAAATCCAAAACTCTTCAAAAATTATTTTAAGTAACTTAGGGCCTGCTTTTTAGCTGATACATGAAAATCCATTGATGATTTTGCTGATGACCTAGCTGTATGTACAGGTAAGATTGTTACTTTCAGACTAGCACAAAATGACCTCAATAGATGTGTTGCTGTTCAAAAAGACCACTGTTTATCAGAGATAACCAAACCAAAAAGCTGAAATGGACATCAGATCAAAGAATGGAGAAGAATGCTATCATGACCAACTTAAAACATCTACAAGGAAGGAAGCTGGAGGACCAGTACAAGTGTGGGCTGTATCTCAGCCAATGGTGTTAGAGAACTATGCAAGGTTGATAGTACCCTAACTGTTTACAGATACAAACAAATTCTTATCATTGGTATAGGTCATTCCCTCAAGAACAAGACCTGTTGGGCAGTGATTAATTTACCAGCAAGACAGTGATCACACACATGCAGCAAATATGGTGAAGTTATACTTGGTATCATGGTTTCAATTGCATAAAGACCCAGTATGAATATTATTAAAGCATATAGGTTTATATAGAAATTTACAACTTGGCCATATTACGGGTAATAATAAAGGACATTTGAAACAATATTCCACAACCACACACACCACTAAACACATAGTACAACATGAAAACAACAACATGGCCATATTACAGGTAATAATAAAGGACATTTGAAACAATATTCCACAACCACACACACCACTAAACACATAGTACAACATGAAAACAACAACATGGCCGTATTACAGGTAATAATAAAGGACATTTGAAACAATATTTCACAACCAAACACCACTAAACACATAGTACAACATGAAAACAACAACTTGGCCATATTACGGGTAATAATAAAGGACATTTGAAACAATATTTCACAACCACACACCACTAAACACATAGTACAACATGAAAACAAGGTGTACTACTTTGTTTAAAACAAATACAATTACATTGTACAACTTATTTGCTTTTTCTTTTGTATTTTCTGTAACAAAGTGTATTGTATTGATGACAAATTGATTATTTAGTTGCAAATACCCATTGTATGTGTATCACCTGTGTGTTTCCATAATTATTTCCAATATTGTGAATCCTGGGATTGCAAGGATTATCTTTTCTCATGAATATCACTTGTTATCTATTACAAAGACAATTTCCATCAAAGTTTGAATTTTACTACACGTTCTTATAAAATTCTACATTCTTTCATGCTAGATCTTCATTAACAAACCTCTACATATAAATGACATTCAGAAAAATAGATAGTTAACCATATCAAGTTTTATAAAAAGAAAAATACACATATTTTTTAGGTATATATTATACACAAAATTAGGTATAATTACAATTAACTTATTTTAAAATCAGTATGTTTTTCTATACACTTGTAAATTGGAAGAATTAAAAATTAAAATTACAACACTTAGTATAAATTACCTATAGGTCAGTAACTATTACGTGCTAGCTTTCTAGCTTATCGCCAAAGCTTAGTAATAGTAATACCAATGATACTGGAAACTATTTTAACTTTTTATTGAAATATTTGGAAATATTACCTGTATTTGAGATATAACATATCACGAGTAAACTCAAGCACAAAAAAAGTAATTTCATTCTTTGATTTTGTGTGATTTAGAAATATTTTCGTTTATTTGTTTAAACTCTTGGCAGGTTATTCATCTTAGTTTCTCAGTGTAACAGAACTCTATATCAGTACACAAACAACTCTATCGATCAGCTAATCATTTATTACAACAATTTTTGCGTTCTCTGTATCAATCAATTTTTCCACTGCGCCCCCCAGTGGCACAGCGGCATGTCCGTGGACTTACAATGCTGGAAACCGGATTTCGATACCCATGGTGAGCAGAGCACAGATAGTCCATTGTGTAGCTTTGTGCTAAACTACCAACAAACAAACTTCTCCACTTTTTAGAAAATAATTAATACTTTGAATCATTTTTAGGCTGCTTTGTACAGAAATCAGATGATTTTGTATATGTATATGTTCAATTCATCTCATAATTATATAAATATTTCAATTGAAAAAAAAAAAGTTAAAATACTGAGAGAAATTGGAGGACTTCTCAACACTTAATGGCATTTGCGAGCTTTTATCAGGACAATTATTTCATGTTCAGACCCTGATTTGACTACTCTGTGATTGATTAGTGCTGCAGATGTATTGTACTCCCTCTTTTTCGTCCCCCGGAGAAACAGCGGTAAGTCTTCGGATTTACATAGTTGATGAGGGGTGGACACTGCAGATAGCCCAATGTGACTTTGGTAAAACAAAATACGCATACACACACACACACACACACACACATACCGTGTTTTTATTGAAACGTTTCATAACACATAAGGGAAGACAAATGTGGCCCGTTGACCATTAAAAAAAAAGACCCTATGAAATGCTTTATGTTCTTAGATTTAAAGGTAGTTAAATACGGAAAAATAAGGTCACACGGTGTCTTTGTTTGTTGTTGTTGTTGTTTTTTTTTGGGGGGGGTATCTGTTATGGTATCAACATTATAAGAGGTACCACACGTTTTTTAATGGCCATTTTTTAAACCAAGAATTGATTCCCGACAGATCAGTTTACAAACATTGTCATATCAACAACGTAAGCAATGATAATATAACAATAAGCAACTTAATGTCAGCACAAGCGTTTCTAGCATGGATTCATATGAACCTATGTAAATAGGTTTGTTAAAATATTTTCAGGTTATATAATAGAATACAGCATCACCGATACACAAATAAGTAAGAACCAAGTCTTTATTCCAAATGAACATAAAAACGTTAACGTGTTTTATCAAATATAATGTTAACTTAACTTTGGCGGGTAGTTTGAACATTTAAAAGTGATTTACATAGAAAACTACGACACAAACACTGAAAAGGCAAAGGTATTTAAAGAACACCTATAAAACACATTCAAAACACACCAAGAACCAGACATGAATGTACACTTCTTCATTAAAGTTAACAATCAAATTAAACTAAACAGAACCATGTACACACCAAAATTCCCAGTTAACATACAAAATACAGTTATGAGATTTGATGAAACAGAAAACCCAATTACATATCCGCTCACAAAAACAATCACAGAAACAGAAGTATAACAAGCTATAAAAACTACCAAAAACAAAACACCATGAGAAGACGGCATACAGTTTATCCTCCTCAAAAAAGGTACTCGGAGACTGTATGGACACCTCACAGCACTTTTTAACTTATCACTAAGTTCTGGATACATCCCGGTTTCTTGGAAGCAAGCGATCGTACTAATGTTCCATAAAGAAGGAAAGACAGCAAATAAACCAAACAACAACCGCTCGATCAGACTGACCAGCTGTGTAGGAAAAATTCTCGAACGAATAATAAGCAATAGACTCAAATTACCTTAAATTAACCCCAAATTACCAGAAATCCAAAATGGATTTAGAAAATTCAGAGACAACAGATCACTTGGTTATATTAACAGAAACAATTATAGATAGTTTTAATAAAAATCAATGCGCTGTCGCCTGCTTTCTCGACGTCGAGAAAGCTTTTGACACTTTATGGCACAATGGTCTTAGGTTCCGCATGACGGAATTGGAACTACCGCGGGAGATTATTCGCTGGCTATCTAACTTTTTGGAAAATAGAAATTGTAAAATAAATATCCGAAGAACCTACTCTGAGCCATTCACCCCAGAGTCCCCCAAGGAGGAGGAGTTAGCCCAATTCTATTCATCATGTACGTGAGCAATATGCCTTTAAAAGACCCTAATCATGGGTTCGCATCACAATTCGCGGACGATTTTGCGGTTTGGAAAAGTGCCCCACCCCATCCATAGTAGCAACAAATGTACAACCATTATTAAATAGTATAAAAGACTATTACCAACAATATCGTATAAATATAAACGTTCCTAAAACCAATTACTTACTTTTACGAGACATAAAAAAGATTCACCTAAACTATACATGAATGGAACACTTCTCCAGACCACAACCTCTGCAAATCTTTAGGATTAACTTTCGACCCGAAACTAACGTGGGTAAAACATACGAATAATATATTAACAAAAATCTGGAAACGTAGAAATTATGCAAGAAGTCTAACAGGCAAAAACCAGGAAACATCACCTGACAACATTATTAAAATATACAAAACACATATACGTTCCGTAATAGAATATGCTTGCCCCGCATGGATAAACATAGATCCCAAACACATAAATAAACTCCAATCTATACAAAACACAATTTATTACTACAACATATGAAGTCCCCGCAGCACCTCATCAAAATTTATGCAAACATGCAAACAATAGCTGATAGACTCTTGCATAATACTCTAAATTACTTTGGGAGAAATTGACAAAAGAATGACAAACTCTGTGAACTTGATCGCCACTACATACAGGATGGAAGTAGACCTAAGTACCTCTCACCTGTAAACATTTATTTTAGAAATAAGGATTTAATAAGGCCACCTGCTACTAGACCTTAAACCCTACACTAGTTTGTACTAAAACAAAGACATTTAAAGAGTATTTTATGTAAAATGTATTAAATTAGTTTCAAACGTGTGAAATGTGTTGTCCGCATATATGGAACTGTTCGCTTAGTGTAAGACTATACAACACCGAACTAAATATGTTATGCACAACACAAGAATGTAAATGAAGATACCTACATGGACTTTGCCCTGAAAGGAGTCAGAGCAAGTGCGGTTTACTCCGATCTTCATGTCGTATCTACATAAACATTCAACAACATTAAAATTATAATTTGGAAAGGAGGAAGAGGTTACGAAACTGAGAAAACTACGAGAGATTCCAGTGAAGATTTCTAAGGAAAAAGACGTACCTTGCTCCTCTCCTTAAATCTTTCAATCAAACTATAGCTTCAAAGCGGGCGAGTAATTTCTTTGAAAGCTCCCTAATAAACGAGAAGAGAAAAGCAACCAACAGCAACACACAGCACGCCGTCGGCGGGAAGTCTTCGGCATACGAAGATCAAGCCCGGCAAACTAAAGGAACTATTAATGGTTGGAGACGGCTTGCATTAGCTATCCTACAGATATGTTTGGTTTGGATGAACAAACACAACCCACATTTGATAAGGACATAACTTCTAAGTTACAAAACCTAATAAACATTGCGAAAAAAGGACTATACATTTAAAATGAAACGACGGAGGAAACAAAAACGAAAGAAGATATCCGCACATAAAGTAAACATAGAAGTTCACACAGCTCAGATATGGAGATAATCGACACCTCTGAACAACAAGAAGAACACATCAAATCAACCTCCCCCCCCCCCACAAAATCCCTAGAAGTAAACGAAGCTGAACATGAATATCAACACAAAGAAGCAAAGGAAGTTAAACAAAAACACAACAAAGCAAACAATGAAGACGACTTTATATTAGTAACGTCAAAGAAACAACGAAAAACTGAAGAGTCAAACACTGATCTCAAGCATACATCACAAAATCTAAAAGCCACAGACGTACAAACAAATACAGTACACAAAAAAAACAGCTCAGTTTCTATAATAATACAAGAAATCCTAGTTCAGTACAGAGAACCGCAATTTGCCGGAAGTAAACATAACTGCTATCAAGCGTCTAGCCAAAGGCGGCGTCCTCGCTAAAGGGTCAGAGGCCGCTGACCTCAACTGACTGCTAAAAGAATAGCCGCAAGATGCTTTTAAACCAGGAAGTATCACTATAAACTTACCAGGCAACAAAACAAACCCCAACTCACAAACGAAATCATTCTAGTCTAACAGCCAAGCTGATAAGACGCACTTTGATAACTGTCGTATGGTTTTTACCATGCTTCCTGCCAGTAAGCAGACTCTCCCCTACCCAACTCCTCCGGTAATTATCGACTGACCGCTCGACTTCTCTCCTTGGGACACCGCCACCTTTATCCGAAGATATAAGCCTCAAGCCCGCGTATTCCCTGAGCGCACCCGTTGTCTCCGCAAGGGAAGTATACTCCTCCAGCCCAGGACACCCGAAGATCTCTGTTACCTCTGCCGCCATTGGTCTTCGAACCCACCCGTCGCCTGTAACATCCCCCCCCCCCAACGTAACGCCACAGTCTCCACACAGTATTTCTCAGAAACGTTCACCTATCCTATACCACAGAAGAAATCCATCAAGCCCTCGAAACTTTAGCCAACTCAACGATCCATGCAGTTCACGGAATCACATCCAAGAAAAAGGTTCACATTCTCATTTCATGAAAGTTTTCACGGCTTTTAAACTAATAGAGGACTTCATCCTCACCCACGGCTGCTCTTTTGAATTATACCATTTCAAAGCAGAGAAACCATACCAGAAGCCTCGCTCACTCCCTACTCTTACCAAATGACCCCCCAAGCCCATGTTTGACAGCACCCGAACAACAACCGCCGCCTACCTAAACGCTACCATCCAACCTATCACATCAGACCAAGCAACTCAAACTTCGCCCACATATGAGACAGAAACACAAGACAAGACAACCCAAATTACCACTACAAGAAGGAAAAAAGGTACCCAGACCCAGCCGCTAGTCCTACCAGTAACCAACAGTGCATATCAACAAACCCGCCCCTCAGCCAATTTCCACATTCCGCACCCTCCTCGTCAAACTCACCCAACGCTCTAGTAATCGACACATCCTCCGACCACTACATACCCGACAAACCTTTACGTGCTTTCCGCCTAGGACTTCACGCCGTCACAACCATACCTGAACTTGAACCCGAAGTCCAGTAAAGAC